GACATCAGAAGACATCCGGTCGCTGTCCGGAGTGCTGTATTTTGTGTAGTCTGTAGCTTCATCCACTGCGTCCTACTGGTCCCCGGCGACCACATATCGATGGCTAAGTGGAAGATCAACATATCTCGGCAGCCAGTTAGAAATCGCCCTATCTAAGACAATTTTTTAACAACGAGTTTGATGGAAGCCCTATCTCAAAATTTATTGAAGAACGCCAAACGCCCTTTCTTAGCACATTTTCACTACATTTTCATCTGAGATATGGCATTCCTCAACCAAATTCTGAAGTAGGGCGTTTTCAAAATGGCTGCCGAGATAGGTCGATCTTCCACTCAGCCATCGATATGTCGGGATACGGTTTCTATCCATACACTGTATGAATGTATGTATGTAGGAAAAAGTTATCAGTTCCGAATTATTAAATCCAACGGTATTTATGCGTCAGTATTGTAAGCGTAGTTACTAGCAATATAAGTGCAGATAAAAGTAATGTAAACATGTGTTCGCACGAGGCGATTTTGCGTTCAACTTTTGCGTTCAACTCACGCAGGGTTGCACGAAAAAAAAGTTTAATGGCTAAATGTTGGCTGGCGACCAACTTTGTTAGAAGCGATTAGTTGAAAGGTTGTTCAACCAAAAGTAGAATGCAAAGTTGAACAATGCAAACGCCTTTTTATGGGGAATATTTTAATTTTTTTTTTATATTTTGATATTTTTAGCCATTGCATTTTGTTTCGTGCAACCCTGCGTGAGTTGAACGCAAAAGTATTTTTCAGGCAACTTTTGCGTTCAACTCGTGCGAGAGCCCTATAAGTAAACATTGTGTAAGTAACCCGTAAGTGTAGACATAGGGTAAGCATTGATGTAATAGTGTAATTAGCTCATAAGCGATAGATTGTATACTGTCTAGACCTTAAGCAAGTACAAGAAGATATCGAAGCGCACTCCATCTTAAAAATAAAACGATACAATTTTGCGAACCATAGAAGGAGCCAGACGTATTTTAAATTATTGATCGAAGAATTAAGACGACCTGACGCTGCAACTCGACGACAACGACTGAGATATCAACCGATCTGGGCGGGGTTGTGGTAGCCGGTACAACAACGACCTGACGTGTTTTCAGTATATCTTTTTTTAAGCTTACTAAGCTGGTGATTTCTTGAATTTTCTTTTTTTAAATAACACGGCGTTTACAGGAGACAAGTTTGCCAAGACATAGGCAATACATTCACACTTTTTCACAAATACATCCACACTTCCCTCATTGTCTTCGCCACTGGTTTTTATTTTTCGAAGACAGTAAATTGGACAATTCGGCCACGTCTTGATTAATTTGAGAAAGCGGTAAGACAAAATCGCAATAAATTTCAGAATTATCAAAAGTGGTTTGTGTTTGAATATTTTAGTAAATAATATGAAATTCACGCCAAACTACACTAACGGCGTTGGCTGAAAATGTATTGTCTTTATTATTTGTCCGGATTTGTCTTGTCTCAAATTGTCTTATGTAAACGCAGCGTAAATTAGATTTATTCTGCACGCTTGTTTCGTGACGTCATCGCAAGCCCACCGGTCAATATTACATATCAGATAATTTGATTGTCTGTTTATCAACAATCGAGACGAGCCCACCAAGTGGTGCTTGAATCTGATTGGCTAAAGTCCAATTGGGCTACAAACTTATATGTACATACTTACCCATATACAGGTATATACATATACTGTGCAGTACATACGTATGAAACTATCTGTTTGCCATTATCTGATGAATTTGGGTATTTTCAAGTCATTTTATATACTATAATTTACAATATTTTATGCAATTGATGAAAACTTCTCAGCCTTTTCACAACTACGAACTTGTTGAATTAGGTCATCGACTTTTCTGTCTTTTCTAATTTTACCTTTAAACATTGCAGAATGTTTATTTTCTTTGTATGTACATTTTTTCACCTCCAATGTAATGTTTATCTTATGTAAAGCAAGCACAAGCGAATATTCTACGTTTATTATTAAATTAAAGAAGAGCCGAGCCCACTTTTTGCCTATTGGCAAGATTCAGTTGTCAAACCACATGTCACTACGTTGTCAAATGAAATACATCGCTGCGGCTGGCTGCCGCCGAGTTGCTCAGCTGTTTAACACGTTAGCGACCCTTAACTGCCATACCTAAACAAAAGCGTTGGGCAGTGCATTTTCTGAGCCCAGCAAACAAAAGTGACATCGCTATGTCAAATTCAGAGATAACACCAACAATAAGCATAGGTTTGTTTGTGTGAAACACGAAAATTACAGTTTCGCTGTTTTCTACCGCCAACTGCACTTCCTAACGCCCTGTTAAAATCGGATTTTCCAAACTCTCGGCGTTGGCGCCGCGTTATTTCGGTATGCTTCATACAGATTGTATGGGCATTAGAATTTTTTGACAGCCAGACAACGCTGACACTTTTGTTTAGGTGTGGCAGTAACAAACTTAGAAGATAAATTAAGGAGATCTGCACAAGAATGCATTGATAAATATATTGGTAAAAAGCGGCAAACTCAACAAACACTCAAGGGGCTATAGTTTGGAGTAATCTTAAATACTTGCAAAATCGAGTAAAGTTTCCTTGATTCAAATTTTGAAGTGCACGTAGCAAATTCTTTTCATTTTATACACCATGTGTTCTCAGTACTACCCTATTATTTGTTCTGTTTTCACTTTGGGTCACATAACTGTCAAACGTGTGCAAAATTAGTTGAGCATGGCGTCAAGGAAAATTTATTCCGCATAAAATCTGAAAAGGTTTTGCAATTAAAGTGAAATATAATATCAAAAATTGTAAAAAGTGAAAATGATGGATAGTCCGCCTCCCCCACGTGGTAAGAAACTTGGCAAAACAACGTGCAACTCGTTTTCACTGCACATTGCGAGTTCGTGGCCATAGCATAACCCCATCGTAGCCGCCCTATGCGGTTCAATTAACATGAAAAGGTGTATGCACTAGTGTTACAACAAAATTTATTTGTATAGATTCCAGTCTACGGAACATAATCGACAAATTGGCTGAATTTGTTGCAAGAAATGGACCTGAATTTGAAATGATCACCAAACAGAAACAACATGGTAATCCAAAATTTGATTTCCTCTATGGGGGCGAATTCGCTGGTTACTATCAGTACCGAGTGGCCGCCGAGCAAGCATGTAAGCCACCTATCGTTTGTTTTAATTTGCGAACGGTTGCTTTGATAATTTACAAATCTTTATTTAGTATTTAATAATAGTAATGAGTATCTAATTCACAAAATTACCAGGACTATATGTAAATGTAAGTAAATAATGTCATATCTTGCAGATCTCAAGCAACAAGGCACCATCCCGCAGTCATCCACCCATCATCCACAATCGGTGCACCATATGCAACATCCTACATCATCACCTGCAATGACACATCATTACACACAGGGCCCACCATCTCAGATGCATATGCAACAAACACAAGGAATGCCACAAAACTCGATTGACGGAAGTAATTTCAATATCAACATGCAGCAACCACCACCATCTTCGGGCAATAGCGCGAATGTAGCATTAAATCTTACTGGGCAAATAGAAGCGATTAATATGCAGCAAAATACTTTACGCGATCAAATACGTCAGTCCGAGTCAAATCTCTCCGCACAGCATTCGGTAATTTTTTACACCCTTCGATACATTTGGTTTATAAATTGCTTGTTTGGAATAGTAAAAGATGAAGTAGTAGATATATGGAGCGGTTGTAGCACTTTTTACAAATTTCGTATTGCATAAACTTCACATTTAGAGCGCATGGAGATATTAGGTATTCAAAAATTTAGTTTTTCACGTGCCCAGTGACTTGAGAGTAAAAAAAAAAATAAATAATGTGCCTATTTTCAAAGTATAAAATTGATGCATCTGAAATGTGAGTACAAATGTTTAAAAAAAAAAAGTCTATTTACAAAAATTATTTGAAAATTTCAGCTAGCCAGTTGAACTTAATTGCTGGTATAAAATCAACAAGGAACATGTTAAACGACTATGCAAACAATGAACGACGGCTATGAACTAGGATTATCATCGCACCAGTGAAACTTTAAGTCCAATTAAATATTTTTTGTGATTATTATGCTGTAATAACTAAATTTTTAAAGTTGTTAGTTGTTTTCAAGAAAAGTTGTTTATACTTTTTAAGGGTCTTTGGTTTTCCATATGTATGCGTACTACATGTGTTTCGAATTTCTGCTTCCCATAGAAGCCGTATTTAGTTGAGCTTGGTAGTAGAAGTCCTAGTTGTATGTTGCTTTTTTTTCTCAGGAATTATTGTTGCTGTTTTGGGTTTTTCTGCGTGTTAACAACTACCTTCTTTCGGGAATAGTTCACCTTTTATGAAAATTTTTACTTATCTCATCTTATTACATCCCCGTTCTAAAAGTCGCTCCTCGTGAGGAAATGTC